CCCCCCCCACCCATACACACACGCTGATAAGCGTATGATCAACAGGTATGAAACATCGACCAAAACAGATATATAATCATCCCTAGTTTTAATATTCCGCAATGCCTGAATGTCGATCAGACGGAAAACAACTGCCAAACGGCAAGTGAATTAATTATCGCATTCATGTTGCCTAAAATAACAGAGCGTAATCGCCTTAACAAACAACTATGAAACAACGAACTGTCAAACATAAAGAACAATAGAAACAAAGTCGAACTTCGTAAAGTCGTCCAAACGTAAAAGTAGGACATGTGCGAAAGCTGGTGAATGGGAAGAAGCGAATTAATCACGCGGCGAACGCAACGTCATTTTATATCACAGGTACAGCAAAGAAAAAGCGTAGCAAACGAACGATAAAACCAGAGCGGAAACTAGTAAAAAACTTCCATAAAACATAACGAACTTGTACACGAACGACCTCCATTGACCGAAGTACGACGAAGAGGTAGTTTCGCCAAATACGGCGTCGACCAGCACACGAGCGATGAACTGGCCGTCGAGCGAATAGCACGGAATGGCGTTCAGCATGGCGAAGGCGAACGACAGAGTGAACACATAGCGAAACAGCAGTTCGAAATAGGCTGGTAGATGAACGGGGGCGATTGTGTTCTTGGGTACGTAGTTCGAAATGGTTACATGGACGGCGACCATCTTCACAGAACCGACGAAGAGGACCGGCGTCGAGGCGTTGGCGACGTAGAAGCGTATGAGGCGCGTGTCGTTGAACAGCGCCGGGTGGACGCACACCGTTTTGCTGTTACAATTGTGAGTGTGGCTGCAGATATACCTACCGGTCACGTAGCTAGCCGACAGACAGGTGTACTCGACCGCGACGTGTTTCGCCGATTCGCTGTAGTACCTGTAGAAAAAGCATAGATGGGTCCTGGAAGTGTTTGATTCACAGCACTGGATTTCAGAAGACGAGGACAAAGATGACAATACGGCCGAATGCCTCCCGGCCTGGCCCCTGACGACGACCGACTTTGGCAGGCAGTAGCCGTAGGACACCCGGCCTGTGTTCACTAGACACCGCAGCCAACTTTCCTCGTTATACACTTTACAGTTGTTGATGGCATAGACGATGTTGCCAACAGCCAGACCGCCATCGGACGACAGACCAGACTCCGGCTGCACGTCAGTTACCATAACACCCTTGTTCACCAAGTAGCATAGCGACGATACCGCTGGTATGAGTTGCATGGAGATCAGCGCCAGCAGCGCCAAAAACAGGTTATGCCAAACACCGGCGCAAAAGATCTTTAGCTTCCTGAACGACGACACCTCTTCAAGGGCCATGTTCTCCAGCTCGGTGAAGGCGCCTGGATAGACGGCGACGACGAACACGCCGAAACCGTTGATATTGACGTTTTCGTTAATGGCCGCAAGAGCGTGACCAAGTTCGTGGAAGAGGCCGGCGATCATCAGTACCATGAACAGCAACGGAAGTTGTGTCCACGGTACGTTGATACCCGGTATAATCGGCACCATGCTCGAAGACAGAGGGGAACGCTGTCCCGCGCCGTCGCCACTGACGGCAGCGGACATCACCACGTCTGTTGCCGCCTGACTATTCTCCTGCCCCATTTTGCTTGAGGTGGTGGCCAATGACCACAACTGCGACAAGAGCGAATCCGACAAAAACAACAGCATGAAGCCAGAGGAAAGAATAGCAGCACCGACACCGACGAAGAACCACAAATCCAGGAAGTGGCGGATGGTCGGTCTCCGGAAAACCGTACTTTCGCCAAGAAAACTGTCCACTCGTACAGTACAAAGTTTCAGTTGAAAGAGACTGACCACAAATCCGGTTCGCTTGCTGAACTCGACGTAACTCTGCAGCTTGTACAAACGGCAGTAATAGTCAACGAGGAACAACAAGCTCCAAAAGCCCAGAAACAGGGCCAATGTCGTGGTGATCAACATCTGGACGAACGAAGACGTTGACGGCGCTTACAGCAGCAGGTTGTTAGCATCAAATGTACGGGCGGGTCGGCCTAAAAGGAAACGCCTTCTAAACGCTTAGCAACGTTAATCGTGATGTACCTGGCACACGAACTATGACCTCATTCGAGCGCCTGGTTACTTACGCTCACGATTGCGACAATTAGGCTATTTAACCACGTCCTAAATCATTAGATGTTGCACAAGACACTCGAAAAGTTAAGAAACAATGAACGGTAAAACTAATAGCAAATCAAATAATAGCACATAATGTAAAGAAACTGATTTGATCAATATTGGCAGTTGTATATCTGCAGTATGTGTTTAACTTCACTGGTAATGTTTTGGCTATCCGCAAGGCAAACAGTCTCTGCCAGCATGATCTGGCCAAAACGTATCCTAAGCATAACCTAGCCAAAGTAAAATAATGACTATAGCATTAGTCTCATAGTTTGTTCATAACCAGATAATGCTTACCATTCAATGTGAAGAAGGTTCATTATCAAATGAGTCTTTGAAATCCAGAATAAAACAGTGATTAAGTAACTGGTAAGCGGGTGGCCAGACCGGGTCACTCGATTTACTCATTCTGAGGTTGATAAATCAGCAACACTATATGAAAAGGCGACGAGACTGCAAACTATGCTCTCACATAGCTGGTGTCGACTCTGCCACAGAAGTATAAAACTACTGGCTGATGACTTGGAAATGGAGACCAGTGTCCCACGATCAACTTCGAAAAATGAAGGGAGCCAAAAATGGTCCCATCATGAAAAGGTACGGAAGACAGACCTTCCAACGGTTACCAACATTGTTTCCTTTCTTGCTATAATTAATCAGTAAAACGGCTGGCTGTATAAACAGGTGACAAGTTTAAGGCAGTGGCATATAGTCACCTGACATGATGTCGGTTGGAAAAGAAATGTTTCTACAGTTTATGCGTGGTTTCGGTAAGGACGAAACCCTTAAAGTAATAAAACCCTTGACCCTTGACGAAACCCTTGACAGAAAAATATTTGATCTTGTTGAACATGTAGACGTAGAAGAAGCTAATGAAGATAATACGAGAAATGGACTGACACGTGGGGACGAATTATCAAATGAAAAAGTCGCTGAACCACAGGAAGCGAAAGTTGCTTAAGTTGAGGCTCTGGAACCAGAAGAGAAACCCAAACGTTTCGTGAAGAAAGAGATGATAATCACGTTATATTTACAAGAAAT